AGAGGTGTCATTTTGTGCTGCTGAAGTCATCCATCTTTAAAAAAAATAAAAATCTGATAGTAAAACCAGAGCAGTTCATGTCAGCATTTGGTGGGAGGTATCTCATCATACTTGCACTATAGTAGTAGTGCAACCATAATCTTTTAGGCCTATGTTAGGCCTTTAAGTTGGATGGGGGGAATAGCTAATCTTCATTTGCTTTTCAGTACTTAAGGAACTTCCTTCTCACTTTAAATTATTTTTCACCCCACTTTGCTATGTGTTTTAACATGAAATATGTCTTTCTCTTCTAGTTACATGAAATAATTTCAGTTGACCTCCTTCAGGGATACTGTTAGCATAAAAAAACCACAAACCCAAACACACCCCAAACTGAACTGCAGTGCAGTCGAATGTTGTCATTCTTTCATTTATGCAGTGTTTTGGAGAATCCTCTCAACTTCAGTGTTACTTCACAGAAGGTAAAGACTTTTCTACATAAGTTCTCAAAGTAACTTACATGTAGCTCGGTTGTAGTTGGAAGATGTTGGAAGCTTCTTGTGCTTGAGGCATTTAATGGTGTGAGATAGCTCTGAGAATAATCTCTTCCTTCTTTATTCCCTCTTTTCCTTCCTCTGTGAGCCTCAAGTACAGATTTACTAGCATTACTAAAGCTATTGATGTAGTTTATAAGAAAAACACATAGTAATAATGCTACTAGCTTGAATAGTTGCATGTGCATAAAGCTGCCTAAATACTGCTAAGTAAGTTACACTTAAGTATACTGCAGTCTTTGTATTGAAGTGTAGAAACAATGGGAACTGGTGTTCCTTTTTTTTTTTTTTTAATCTGACTTTTGTTCCATTAGTTTATTTTGACTTTTAGACAGAGACAGGTTAAACTTTCACAACCACAGAATAGAGCCATTTTACAGACTGGTATTAGTATCCAAATTCCAGATGCAAAAATTAGTTGAGTTCTGATGTGGTAAAAGTTGCTTAAGTCCCTTTTAGTGCAACAGCTACAAAAAGACTGGAAAAATGGCTGTGTAAGTTAATAGGCATGACAATATTGGGGGGTTTGGTGAGTTTTATTCTCATGACTGGTCATAGTGCTTAGAATACTGTGCTGAAAACATACCTTGATTTGCTTGTCTGAGTTACAGCTAACACAGAGCTCGTGTTTTTCCCTTTAAATTGTGCATTAATCTTGTAGCATGTGCCCAGTTTGGAGTCTGGTATCAGGCTGTGAATGGCTAGGGGTTATCACTTGTAGTGTTGAGACTTACTGTGGCACCTGATCCATGGTGAGGCTGTGAGAGCTTACCTACTGTCTGAGACAAGATCTTAAATTCTGTGTTTTGAAACTGATTTTTATGTGAAAGAAACTGTTCTCCAAGTAGACTTTCTAGCACCATGCTCCCTACTGCCCTACAGAAGCTTTCAGGTCCCTCATAGACTTGATCTGTGTATGTTTCAGTTTGTTTCTTGTGGCACAACTTAGGAAAACCCTTCATGGTATTAAAATCTGGAGTTCCTGTTAATTGCCTTCTCAGATGGTTCTGTGGACAAAATACTGTTTGTTTGTTGTGGATTTGTATTTGGGTTTTTTTGTTGTTGTTGTTTAGTTTTTTTTTTTTTTTTTAAAGGCCATTAACTGGTTTGTGCAGAGTTAAAGTACAGCTGAGTACCAAAATAATGCCTTTAATTAATACAAGCTCCAAAAAGAGGCTGTTCAGCTGAGAATTATGAATAAAGCTTGTAAAGTTGTGTGGCATGTCTTGTACATAGTATATTTTTGGCTTGCTTTGAAGTTGCATATTGGTCTGATAAGCTTTTTTTTCTTTTTTTTTTTTTTTAAATCAAAACCTTTATCTGACTGGCCAAAATAAATATGGGGATGGATTATAATTTTAAATCTTGTGTTTAACAGACTTAGGCTTTCCAGCACATCCCTTATTGTCTGTTAATACAGCTTTTACTGTATGTTTAGTAAGGCTACCTGTCTTTATCTAAAACTTTTCCTATGTCTTAAGCTTTTTTTCCTTAGGGAGTGTACCAGGCTGCTTTCCACCAGTGCAAAAGCAAGCTATCACAGATGTATACATACATGTATGTGTTCATACAACATAGGGCCTACAAGTTAATTTAACTTGTAGTCCTAAGGTGGCATAGATACCTCTAAGAAGTATGTATTGATATTGAAAAGTAATTCCTCAGATTCTCTGTCCCACCTCACTTTGAAATTCTTTGTCAGCATTGGTACATTGGGGAGAATTTAGATAAAAAAGATCATCAGATGAGGAGGGGACTCTTAGGCCATTTAGAGATTTTGTTAGTTCCTGCATTCAGATGATGTGATTTCAACCTAGCTAGTTTAGATCCTGTTGAAGGAGAATGCTGCAGTGTTAAGGCTTTGGCTGTGAAACTTACAGCTTGAATTGATCTGTTACTGATTCTTTAGAATCATGGTCTAGTAGTTCTGGTGTTGATAGAATAAATAAGTAAAATACATGCTTATGACAGGAGCAGATGCTACTTGTGCTAACTTGATTATCAAAGATGTGGTTGGTTGTTTCGCCATCTCATTGTGTATTTTTAAAAGCAGTATGTCATCTGGAGAACAAGTTTACAAGTGCTTTGATTTTACTTGCAGGCTTCACCAAAATGTTAGAACTATGAGGAGTTACTGTAGGACAGAAACTAGTCTGCAGTTGGTTGATTGTGTGCTGCTTGGGGTGGGGGGGGAGATGGAGGGTGTATGTGGTGGGTGTTAGTAACAGAAAGATAGATGTAACTAAGTAAACTTTGGAGTTGCGAAACTGTCATTTTCCTAAATTCCACAAATTTGAAACGTAAAATTTTTTTAATCAAAGATTAATTTTTACAACAGCTCTTTTTACTGTGAATCTGACAGAAGTGGACACCAAAAGGTAACATCTTGCAAGTCTTCATCTATTACTAATTTTGATATGTGTCAGAAAATCAGATTAATCTAGATAGTTTGAATTGTGTGCTGTTGCTATTTTATTCTTTCACAGATGGGAAATGGTATGCATTCAGCAGAAACACATTATCCCGGTATTTTCACAGGGTTATGTTAGACTCCTGGTTAACTGTACTTGTTAACAGTACTGCTGTTAAAAGTTAATTGGCAGCTAAACCCAAAGAAACTGATGGTTCTGCAGACTATAAAGTGTCAGTACTAGTTGTGCATAAAAATTGCCATTAGATGTATGTATAGTCACATATTCATCCTTCATAATTGGAACAGAGGTTATCTCTATGTTCTGCAAGAATTTCAATCATTTAAATGTACTTTGGTTTGTGAAATTTGGCTTTTAGAAAACATTGCTGCCAACAATTGTTCAAATGCAGGTGAGTAGAGCAGAACAGTAGCAAAATGAACAATTCTGGCCTGTCTCCCTTGCTGCCAGTGGCAGGAAAGTGAGCAGCACTTTAGGTTCTCAGCTGGTAGCTAAGTGAAAGTAAAGAATCAAGTTCAGCTGGCCTTTTCCTACTTGGCAGTTGGAATCAAGTTTACTCAAGAGGGATTTAACCAACCTAGACTTTTATAACAATGCTAGGAAGCATGTGTCATTTTTGCCTGTGTATGATTGTGGTTCAATAGGAGCTGCTGAGTTGCCAAAGGGGTGTTTCTGCAGGTGTGCTGTCAGTATGGCTCCCTGCCTGGAAGTAATAGCTGGGATGTTCCAGTGTGTGCCTCCTGCTGTGCTGTCTGCTGTGCTTACGTTATGGATCACTGTAATGGAAGGGGTATGAGTGAGATAGTGAGAACTTGGGAGTTCTTATCTCTCAGTAACCAGAGAGCTGAACTGTGTTGCACTGGTAAATCCACTAAAATGAGTGAAATCACACTGTTATGAGAAAGTGTAGTTTAAGGTAGTTAAGGGTAAGCATGGGTGTTCTGTTAAATAACATTCCACTTGCAACAAAACAGTATCTCACAATTATTCTGACAGCAGCTGTAGCTGTTGTTGCACAGGCCCTTGCTAGCTTGCAGGCTTGCCATTGGAAGGAGAAATGCAGTTGTAGAGGCTGTGGGCAGAGTGTTTGGTGGCCTCTCTCTTGTCTGTGCTGGGTCTGCCATGGTGCTGCAGCAGGGGCCTGGCCAGAGGGGTGCGGCTTTTGTTGAAGGAGTTGCTTCTTGCAGCTTTGCCAGAAAGTATCACTAGCTGTGAGTAAACAGAACTGGACTTCTTTAAACTCATCTTAAACTCTGGGTGTGATTGTCGCCTGCTCTGTGAACCAAGAACAGCTTGCTAGTGCTAGAAGCAGGCCGTTGGAGCAGGAGTATGGGAGTGTCCCGGGCTGTAGCTCTGCGGACTGGCTAGCAAGCGCCCAGATACGGGCAGAACGACGGAAGCCTCAGAAGTTCAGGCACAGAGTTTAACAGGGAGGGTGCACCAATACCTCCCTTCCGAGCTACCCAACAAGTCACAGCCTTCCTCAGGCCTGGCGCAGCTGCGGCGTTCGCCTGACCTAGGCAAGGGCACGGGGCAGCCGACCGGCCCGTGAACCGACCGGCAGCTGTGGCGCGCAGCCAGTGCCCCGTTCCCAGCAGCTCCGCCTCGCGCAGCCTAGTAGCCCCGGGATAAGGGTTGACCCGACCCCTTCACCTCCCCCGCCACGGAGCGCAGCCGTGAAGGGCGGGAGGGGGAACGGCGAAGGGTGGTGGTCGCTGCTGCGCGTGCGCGGTAGTGCCGGTTGGCAGCGCGTCTCTACCAATCGCTCTGCAGTTTCTTGGGCTGTGACTCCGCCCCTTGTGCCGGCGAAGGACAAAGTGACGGAGCCGGGCCCGCGGTCAGCCTCTGCGCGAGCTGCCGCCATCTTAGGAGGTGAGTCAGGACAGCATTGGGCTGCCCGCTCGCCGGGACCCGCTGTTCGCCCTGGGGCGACGGGCCGCATCTTGGGTGCGGGACTAGCCGTACGGGCCCCTGGAGGGTCCCGCAGTCCCACGCCGCTCTGCTCTTTTCGCCCGCTTCAGGTCGCCATGTTCTCCTCCATCGCGCCGCTCGCCCGGCTCAACCCCTTCTACGCGCCGCATTTCCAGCCGATCCAGGATGGGGTGAGGAAGCGAGCGGAGCCCACCGAGGGGCCCACCACGCGGCGGAGCTTGGCGGCCGCATCCGCCGGTGAAGGTGAGAGCGGGCGGGAGGGATGGCGGCCGTGGCGAGGCCCGCGGGCGGGGAAGGCGCCCTTGCCAGCCCGATCTCCGCTCACGCGGGCTTGCGGCGGCCGGGGTGGCGGAAAGAGGGTTAACGCTTACTGGATTCGGCCGGGCCGGGGAGGAGCGGCTCTGTAGCGGGCGCTGGGCCTACGCGCTCGCTTGGAGGACGAGGAAGGGCACGGGCCGGGGAGGCGCTGGTGGCAGCTTCCGCTCCCCGTGCGGTGTGTGCTAAGTGATAGCGGGGATCCGACGTGACAGGGGAAGGTGCTGGTTTGGAGTAATGAGAGAGAGCGCTGATCGAGTCTTTCGGGGCAAGAGTGCATTTGCTGGCTTCTGGGCCTGCAGCCTCTAGGGCTGGGACTTCAGGCCTATGCTTCTTTATTCCTTGGAGAAGAGCAGCATGTGAATCTGGATGGATTTGAAATACTTTTTTTTTTTTTTTACTTTTTTTTTTTGCTATTCCTCTTACTTTTCTCCGTGTTTATTTAGAGCTGGACATCTGAACATCCAGACACATTAGAGGTGCCCTTTGTAGTTGTTGGGCGTGCACGAGATGGCTCCGCTGTCTTAAGATACAGTGATGCATTTTAGATTTTAGGTGCAAGTGTTTCCTTATTGCATTTGTGACTTCCAAAGGTCAAACCTTGATGAGACTACTAATAGTGGAGGTAGATGTTAAAATTCTAATTATTTTAAGCTTTTGATAACTTGAAAGCATTCCTCTATTTTTAATTAAAAAAATAAAATGAAATTGCAGTAGTACTACTTTCAGCAAGATACTCATCTGAAGTACTATGCTTACGGAAGTGTGTTAATCCTCTTGCACGAACATTCATATGATATATGAAAGAGAGATAAACTTGTTGGATTTTATTACATTTTCAAGAAAGTGCTTCTGACTTTCAGTGTGGTAATCTTGTTGCTTACTAGCTAAAGCCATAAATTATTCTTTGATATGCTGAATATATTCAGTGGTTGCACTTATTTCTTGAAAGCGTGAAGCATGATCTTCATCCTGTTTGAAAGCATATGCTGTCAAAGGTAACCAGAGTTTCTTATTCTTCATAGTTTTTTCTGCTGTGTTCATTCTTTCATGGACCAGTTGGTTCTCTGGCCTTTATGTTGGAGGTTCACACATTTCAGAAGATATCTGAGCTTACAGAAGGTCATACAAAGTCAGTACAAACCACAAGGTCTTTTGAGCTCACCTCAGAGCATTAACTCTAGGATAGCTCAGAGGCAAAGTGTTTTATGCTCAGCTCTTGGAATTTGCCCTTGTTAATGTGTCAGATCAGAAGCAGAGAAATCAAATAATTATGATACAGCTATCTTAATAGGTAGACAAGTTTTTGGGCTGTATGTTTATGTTTGAGTAGCATCAGGGTGTTTGTCCTAAGTCCCCTTCTAGGTATGTCAGAATAATTTTCTTGCTCTCTGTACTACATGCTTATCCAGTTTTCTTTTCATGTAACAGTCTTTAGGAAATTTAATTCTTTTAAAATAGAAAGCCTGGTATGTAGTGTGGCTTTCTTTCCCTAATATTGCTGTACCATTACAAACTTAGGTACCTGTAAAGAGCTGAAGCCTAATCAATACTGGCTTGCTTTTCCTAATTACTTGGTTTTGAACACCTGACCAGCAGGTCAGTCTGAACAATAGCATTATAATAAAGCAGGTACATAAAGCTCTAGTTTTTTGTGATTTCTACCGTTGTCTGTCAATTGAGGAGTATCACTTATAACAGTAAATTATTGTGAAAAAGGGAATGTGAATGAGCACTTCTGGTATCTGGGCATCATGATAACTGCTGCAGTACTGTTGTGCAGCAGGCCAAAGATTCAGCTAGACAGAGCTACCCTGAAATACAGACTCAAGAGTCTGTTCTTTGATTACACCTTCATAGAAAACCGTGTTTGTGTTTAGCAAGTCATACTAGCAAATTGTAAGCAGAATGTTACTACTGCTTGCAAGTCTGCTAGCATAACCAACCTTTTTTAGAGGCGTGTGTGAGTCCTGGACCAGCATATTTACAGTCTTGAGTAATATCTCAATTTTAAAAAAAATACTCATAAGTTATGCATTATTCTGATTGTTAACTGATTTCATCCTTCAAGTATAGGCTTAATATGGTGTCTGTGTTTCAGTATTTGTTATTTTAAAGTGGAGAAAAAGTGACACTTCTATTGCCTTGTTGATTAATTATGAAGAGTAAGGTGAGAAATACGAACATAACAGGCAATAGAAAGCCTGCAGTAGTTGAGGGAAGAAGTTCCCTTCCCTCAAGCAAAGTTAGAAGCTGGAAAAGCCTGCTAGTGTTAACTGGTGCTCTGTTGATGCTGTTGAATGTAGGGTTGTTGATGTTCATAAAGGAATTTATTACAGAAGCAAAAAAAGCCCAAAGAAGTTCTCAGAAGCTCTGAATAAGTTAGGGTTTTGCTGACTTTTGATTTTCATTACTGTTTTTGTGAGGATAGTTCTTATTAAGTTGCTGTAACACTAATGTCTGTTCCATTATATTGAAGTAACACCACTAGATTTAACAGAAAAAGAACCTAGGTTGTCCATTTCTACTCTGGGGAATATTTTCTATGTGATGTATTCTTTTCTATATGCTTATTCAATATATTGCTTTTGCTTATGTATTTAAAATGCTAAGTATAATAGCAGAATGGTGTTGCTACCTCATGCTTATTTCATACTGTTAATTGTAAAAATTACAAAAAAAAAATTGTTTCTTGGTTGTCCCTAATCATGCCCTCTGTAGCTTCTTCAAAAATGGAAGAGGGAAACTCATCCTTTTTTTTTTCTAGCTCTAGTAACTTTGCGTCAATGGAATTTATGAAAAATAATAACCTGTTCTTTAAAGACTGGATGGTTTTATACATAGTACTGTATGGAGCAGTGCAAATGAAATATCCTTGATTAAACATGATGGGAAGATTCTTTCATGAACCTCGTTTGTAGGCATTGAATGTGATAATAAGATGCAGTTTCACTAAACAGAAGCTGTATAAATCTGAGATTGTTTTAGACTGAAAAACATCTGTATAAATCTGTAAAATACCTGAAAGTGTATCTGCATAAAGAAAAAAAATCCGGTGCTGATCTTGTAGTTCTGTATGGTTTCTACTTAAATACCTAAGTTGTACTATCATAGAATATTTAACCAAAGAAGCTGTAATACTAGAGAAATACTATTCTTGCTTAATTCCTTGATGTAAGAAAATGTTGGACATTGCAGCTCTGAGTCATAATTTCTGTTAGCAGCTTCTGAGATTCATTTCTATGGTTTAAGTGTGCTGAGTGCTAAGACTTGACTGTTTCTTCCATTGCTATTTTCATTTATTTATTTATTTATTTATTAAGGAACAAACTTAATTTCAAAGGCTTAGAACCAAATCTTGTCAGTCCAAGAGATGCTAATTCAAAGCCAGGGAATTATTTTTGAGTATAACACTACAGTTGAACAATACAATATGGGAGATTATTTCAGTGTAATACTTTTAAGACGGTAGCAGTCAATTTTATTTCTTTTCTGAGCTTTGTTGCTGTTTATGATTGATCCTATATATATAATTTTTTTTAAATTTTTTTTTAATTAACTAGAATACAGCTGTGCATATGGCTCAAACAGATTCTTTTTGCTTTGTGGCCTTGGTGGGATTATTAGCTGTGGAACAACACATACAGCACTGGTACCTCTAGACCTGGTTAAATGCAGAATGCAGGTTTGTGCTGCATGTCGGTATGCGGTAGCATTGACAAAGTGTGTTTAGTGTGGTATATTTAATCTACTAATGAACTGGAGGGATAAGCTATCCCCTGGACGTATTCTCTAACAGTGCATGGAGTTTATGCAAAAGCATGGTGTGTCTTTTATTTTTTGCTGCAGAATACAGTTGTGAATATGGCTCGCTCAAGTTTTATGCTCTCTGTGGCGTTGGTGGGGTCCTAAGTTGTGGCCTGACGCACACTGCTGTTGTACCTCTGGATTTAGTGAAATGTCGTATGCAGGTTTGTATTAACTTAAAAATTTCTTAAGGTGGTTCTCTATGTGGCCAGCATATTAAGAATTTACAGCAGGGACACTAAATTTTTATGGAGGATAGGAAGTAAGTAAACATGAATTAACTGCTGTTGTGAGCCTAACAACGTACCACTTTCAAGAGAAGCAGAGGCATTTGAGATAATCTGGGTGAATTATTTTTGTCTGAATTGAAAACACCTTTGACTGATTTTGCTGAAAGGCACCAACCATGGTGTTACTCTTTGCTGGCTGGTAGGCTCTCTAACACTGTGTGGTGTTGGAGAAAGAAAATAGTATCTTTGCTATTCTGAAGATCTGTGGGTTTTTAGCTTGAAGTGACATGCATGTATAATTTGATCCGTTAACATTGTGGATTATCAGTGCATGGTTTATGGATTGGATACTTTATGATAATGCCACTTTGAATAGAATGGGCAAAACTTGATATGGTATTGGTAAAGCCATCGGTGCTTGTGGTTACTCTTGAAGTGGTTCTTGATAGAATTGAAAGGGGTATCATCACATCACACTTAATTTGCAATAACAGTTTCCACAGTAAAATCATTAGTGAACAGCCGTAGATAGAAACGTACTACTGGATTTATTCAGGCAAATCTGTGCCTCAAGAAAAACAAATTTAAGCAAACTTCTAAATTTCGGGAAATACAGTAGTTAATGACTTCCCTTTTGCGTAGGCTGACTGACTATTGAAGTGGCAGTTTTGTAATGGTAGAACTGAGATTAGGAGGGAACAGTGAATTTAACAAGACCTATTAGTGACATTAGGAATACTGAATGTGGTGTTCTTTAAAATTGTGTTATTCTGGAAGGCCTTTATTTAGCATTCTTTGTAGGAGAACCTTTTTCACATACTTGAGAGCACCTGAGGTTCTGGTCTCAAACTAGTAATTCTGTAAAACAGGCGTACCTCAATTGACGGCAGCATGCTGCTTTCTACAAAATTTGCATCAAGACCAGGTTAACTGTAGGAATTCCCTGTTTCTGCTAGTGGGGAATAGCTGTAGTTGTAGCTCTGTATGTGTTATATTATTGAAAATGTAGCTTAAGTGCACTCTTTCATTGTTACAGACTTCAGAATACAAGATTGGTACCTTGACTACCCATACCTAAGGTTGAGTTTCCTGAGGAGATTGATCGATCATGGGTAGAGAAGATATAGCATCTCAGTTGTTAATCTGACTCCAGATTGGGTTAACAGGCATAAGTCTTGAGAGAGACACAGTGCTGCGTATACAACTGGAAGCGAGGCCTCATGCTTTCCAGGCTTCAGCTGTGTGGTTGGTGTGCACAGTTTGGGCTGCTAGTCCTGGGCTCCCCTACATGGCAAGGGTAGTGACACTTCCCCTTTCTTCTCCAGCAGTTAGAGGAAGGTGTGGATTCCTGGTGTTACATTGTGAAATCTATCAGCATGTATCTCTATACAGATCCAGTACAGAGGACCTTACTGATCCTTCCTAGATGCTCCAGGCAGGAACCCTTTGCCTGCTCTTACGTTTTTTTAAGAAGAGGTCAGCTTTTATGTAGATGATAATTAAGCATAATTATGACACAAACATAGTCTTATTTTACAGTACCCACTTAAATACCCAGTATTATGAAATTCTGGATGTTTAGGTGAACTAGGTCTCAAGTAGGTTCTTGCCAGACTGCAAGGCAAAACAACAGTCGCTTCAGGTTGGCACACGTGTTCCATAGCTCTTTCTGAAATCGTTAGTTGACTTCTTGTTTGATACCTTCCTTATTCTCTGAGGAAACGTTAGATGATGTCATATATGAAAATTAACATTATGATGAGACTTAAAATTTGTCAGAATGACGTACTTATTCACATTGGTCCTTTTTAAAATTTCTAATGAGTTATTAATGAAATCTCACTCAAAAGTTTTGTGTGCAGAAAATAATTTGTATGTACCCTTTACTTTGAAGTCAAAGTGCAAGTATAGAAGTTTTTGAGTACTCTTTGATCTGCTTTGCTCTATCTGTCTGAATTGAACTGGGTAGAGGGATCATACTAACCTTTTCTGATAAAGAATCAGGTGAATTGTCAGGCTCGGTTTGTGGCAACACCTGGGTGTTGATAGGTGTGTAAAGTGATTGAGATTGCTGACAGAAGCTATCAAATTTTGAAAGAATCTGATCTAAACAGAATTATGTAAGTATACCACTGACAGGGTTAGAATAGTGATTTCAGTAAATCTTTTTCAGAAAGTCATATTATTGATTTGGAGAATAAATGTAAAGCAAAATTCACATGGTTGGTTTGTTCCCAGTTACTGAGGAACATACTGGCTGTTAAAGTAAGGGCTTGAGACTAGCAAATAACCATTACGGTTACATTAGTGTAACCTTGTGAGTACATCGTTTGTCCAGGGACCATAGGAAGCCAGCTGTATGAGGAATTTAAGAATTTTATGTTTCAGATGGTGGGGGCTGAGAGGAAAGTAGTAAGCTATATCAAGCAATTAACTGCCTATTCTGTTTAGGTTGATCCACAAAAATACAAGAGCATCTTCAATGGATTTTCAGTGACAATCAAGGAAGATGGTGTTCGTGGCTTGGCTAAGGGTTGGGCTCCAACCTTTTTTGGATATTCCATGCAGGGGCTTTGTAAATTTGGTTTCTATGAAGTTTTCAAGATCCTGTATGGCAACATGCTAGGAGAGGTAAGCCTTAAGTGGTTTACGTGACAGTATGTTTATTGTAGTATTAGTAACACAGAGTATTCACAAAAGCATGATTCATTAACAAAACTGTGTGTTTAAATTCACTTCAGGAAAATGCATACTTGTGGCGTACTTCACTATATTTAGCTGCATCTGCCAGTGCAGAATTTTTTGCTGACATTGCTCTGGCTCCAATGGAAGCTGCTAAAGTTCGAATTCAGACACAGCCTGGATATGCTAACACTCTGCGGGAGGCTGTACCTAAAATGTTTGGAGAAGAAGGCATCTGGGCGTAAGTATCTCTTGATTTTAATTTTTTTATTCAGGATCTTGATGTTGAGTATTTTTCTTCCTAATGAAGAACTGTTGCTAAAACTAATTGTGGCTTTAGCGTATAATACTGACTGTTAATTCCACATGCTCCTTAGATCCATCTTTGTGAGTATCTTTGTGCTGAGTTCTGCTGGATAACTTCAGTTTCTAGCAGTCCCAGTCAGAGATATTCAGCAACTTTTTGGTTGTACAGTCAAAGATGCTTGAGTCATTGGCATGTAAGAGTAATATAACTGCATGTTAGCTTTCTGTTCTGATAGAAGTGGCTGTAAATACACAAGTCATTTATTGCTATCAGGACTTGGCTGGTATGCAGACATAAGCCTTACTGCACTTGTAGTATCAGTACTGCATTAGTGCAGTGTTTTGGGATCTGAAGTGACTACAGAAACAGCTGTGCAGCATAGGGATCAGGTAAATTCTAATTCATGTTGCTGTTGTAAGTTAATACTCGGGAACTAATAAAACTTAAATTTCTGCTATGTATGTATTGAGACACTTAACCCTTACAGTGTCAGTATTTAGAAGTTACATTCTTGATGGCAACAGTAAGCTAACGCACACACTAAGTTAGAAATGTACCTTAAGTGCTGGAGAAAATCAAACTGAATTTGCCTCTTCTCTTTTTAAGTTTCTATAAAGGTGTTGCTCCATTATGGATGAGACAGATTCCATACACAATGATGAAATTTGCCTGTTTTGAACGTACTGTTGAAGCTCTCTACAAGTATGTCGTTCCCAAGCCACGAAATGAATGTACAAAAGGAGAACAACTGGTAGTCACATTTGTGGCAGGCTATATTGGTAAGGAATCTTTTAAGTCTTACACTTCATTAATGGACTACTGCAATTCTGTAAGCCTGTCCCTTTTCAGAATATCAGATAGATGTGACTGGAATAAGAGAAATTACATATAACTTTAAATGTGCAGGGAAAACCACACTAATCTGTAAGTGGCAAATGGGTCTGTAGTAGGACAATACTCTTAATTGTTCCTATATATTACCAATATTAATGTCCAAATATAGAAACTGCAGTTTGAGGATACTAAGAGGCTTGCCATAATTTCTGTGCAGTTTATTAGAAGGTGTTTCAGGTAGTTGTACTTCATGTACACAGTTACGGTACAGGTAAAATACCACAGAACTAATGTCAAATTATTCTTTCAGCTGGTGTGTTCTGTGCTATTGTGTCCCATCCTGCTGACTCTGTAGTGTCTGTGTTGAACAAAGAAAAGGGCAGTTCTGCTTCACAGGTTCTTCAGAGGCTTGGATTCAAAGGTACATCCTTCCTTTTGTGTATTTTGGATCAAGCATTTATGGCATGTTGTGTTTGGGGGGGGGGGGATGGGATTTCTTTTTTTCCTGTTGTCTTACACCTCTCATGCTTTTTGTTTTGCTCTGCAGGTGTATGGAAGGGTCTGTTTGCCCGTATCATTATGATTGGTACCCTGACTGCGTTACAGTGGTTCATCTATGATTCTGTGAAGGTCTATTTCAGACTTCCTCGTCCGCCTCCACCAGAAATGCCAGAATCTCTGAAGAAGAAGCTTGGTCTAACCGAGTAGACAACTCATGGACTGACTGTACTGGCCCTCCCAGTGATGAGTTTCATGAAACTTTTATATATTTGACTATGTAGAAAACAAACTGTATATGATACTGTTATTGGCTGTGCCCTCATCCCACGTGAGGGTTTAAATTCTACCACTGTCATTGCCTGAAATAAATGAGAAAGAGAGTGCTTAGTGTCTCTTTACTACTGCATCTGTAACCTCCATTTCATAGCAGCAAATACCTCAAATACTCCTTCCCACCTCATCCCCCCCCCCCCCCCCAGTAATAATAAAAATAGTAATCTGCACTTCAGGAACTAGCGAATTGTGAAACAATTGTAACAGAAATAGGTTTTCACTGTTTCTAGAGAAGTGCCGAGAACGTATCCTTGCAGACCTGCGGAAACTTAACTGCAGTTCTATGCACTTTGAGTGTAACATTGTATTTGCCTGTAATAAGCTGCTACTGTAGAACAGCTGAATGGTTGAGATGCGACTGAGTCTGACATGGCCTCCTGGTCATGTTATGGGTGTTCTCCATAGAGGTAAAAGGAACCTTGTATGTAATAGAGCTGTTTCTGCTTTGGGGTGGTCATCCCAATATAACTAACCTAGGCTAACTTTAATTTTTGCTTCTGTTGGCTTTGAACCACACCAAAGAACTCAGTGCTTTTGGTTGTACTGTGGGTACTCCTGGAGTTTGATACATTTTTTTTATATATATATTTTTCCCCTCAATTAGTTTAATATGAAGTTTTGTTTGAACAATGCCCTAATGCAGTGCAAGAAGCTGTACCCTTTTTTTTTTTTTAGCTTTAACAAGAGGAAATCTAGGCTCCTAGGCATGAAGTGGAAGCACTCATGCAGTGTTCAGTTAAGGCAGTGAATTTTTTTCCCAGCATTTTTCAGAAAGGTGAGCATGCTGCCTTCTGCCTTGTGGCTATTCAGAAACACACAGATGATAATCACATTGAGAAAAATCCAGGAAATGCTTGATAGTATGTAAAGGGTTCACCATAACCAGCACTACTTTGTACAGCTGGAGCTCAAGTGTCTTCTGTGCAAAACTGTTTGGATATGCTGCCTTTCAGCATGTGAGCTGATGACACTGAACTTGGCGTTCACGTGCATTGCATTGCTGCTGTTTCTTCTGTCTTTCAGAGTCAAAAGAGCAATTAAAGCAGGTGACACTGGAGTAGCATAAGTACTGACCATTGCATCTAGCTGGAGTCTGGTGTTCCTGCTGCTATTTTACCTAATGTTGAGCTTCTTACCGTCTGGGAAAACCCTCCAGCTTCCAAGATTTTGGATGGTTAATGCTAAACAAGCAAGTTGAGCCTTATTTTGAATTGCTGCCTTGCAAAAATATTGAAAAAAGCCTACAATTGCTCTATTTACTTGTCACCATAACACTAGACACATTATTGGAGTGGTTTGTATCTAACTGCATTGAGCAGCAAAGTCAAATCCTGTAAATTGAAATGAACCATTTGTACAAGAATTTTAGTGCTGAATTAAATGTATTTCATGTTACAAGTATGTACATCTCATAGCCCCATTGAGAGTGAGAAGCTTTGAAGTTAGGAGCATTTAATCATTTGTTACATAAAAGCTTCCTTGGAGAAGAGTGTTAACTATGACTTGACCTTGTATCAGTCAAGCCCATTGGTATTAAATCAGCTTTTGAAGTTAACTTTTGTATTTAGTTCAGCTTGGTAGAAAAAACAGTACTGCTGTTGTATACTGAAAATCAGAGTTTCTTTAAAGTCGTGTTTTATCCTGGGAGGCTTTTTTTTTTTTTTTCCCTTGGGAAACATCTCAAGTTTCTTTTAATCCTGCAAAAGTGAAGTACTTTTGTCAAATTTTAAGGCTTGCAGAGAAGCAAAATTAACTTGGCTCATGCAGTTGTGGTAGTCTGATTGTCATGTAATTCAGTGATAATCTACGTTTCTCAAGACTTGTCATTCTGGAGCGAAACTGTGCAGTTTTTCTCTAGAATTGGGTCTCTTATGCATCCATTTTAAATACAGTAATGTGCAGTAAAGTAATTTGAGAATCTGAAATCCATTTACTCGTTGCTTGAGGGTAGACCTGAAACTCTCTTTTCAAAGATGCTCAGATAATTTTATCAGGGTAAATCTGAGAAGACTACAAGGGGCAGCTGGCTGTTCCCCTTTTCTTCTGTAACTGAAAAAGGGAAAATAGTGCTACTTTTAATGCTGGGTTTCACAGAAAACACAAGAAAGAGAATTTCCTTGCAGGTGCTGACTTCAGTCACCCACTGGTGTTTTAAATAAGCTTCAGTGGGAAAACTGCAGTATTAAAATGCATTTAAATGCAGTATTAAAATGCATTTAAAAGGTCAACTTTATAACTGCTTTAGACAGTGTGTTTTCTGAAAGCTGGGCGGGTGGGGTGCAGGAGTGGTGGTGCTTTTGATGGATGTTGCAGGGGAAGTTCTGTATTGAGGAACACTCCATTTTGATTTTGGGAAACTCCAGACCAGTCACTACACCCCAAAGTGCTTTGTAAAACATAGCTTATGTATATTCTGCTTGTGTATATTGTTTTATGAAGGAGAAAACATCAAAACATCCTTTCTTGCTATTACTGGAGCTGAGATCAGCTTTCTGGTTTAAATCATACTGCCTATATAAATGTGGAGTAACAACTCCATCCCCTGTGTCTGTATCAGGTTGTATTACAGATCAAATGTGCTGATACCTGCTGAAATGTTTGTTGCATATCATTTTTAAAACAGGCTGTAATAATACAAATAGTTGTAATTCACTTGCATTTCTACACAGAAATTATGTAGTTCGTAGTGAAAACAATAAACATCCTGCTTTTTTATAGCAAATATGAGTACCTTGAGTAGCTAAGTTTAGTAGCTACATGGCCTTGTTTTACAGAGTATGATTTCTGTAACTCTTGAGTGATGTGGGAGGAGGATGTTGCTAGTAGAAACTTCTTGGCTGAGCTGATGTTCTGGTGTTTAAAAGTAGATCTGAATGTGTTTAGATTACTTTGCTCATGTTTTTCAGCACTGATCACCTAATTGCTGGGGTGGTTGTTTTGTTTGTTCCCCTTGTGAGTTGCTGGCAAGGCTGTTATTGGGTATTCCTATACCTGCATACCAAGTTAAAAGCAAAAAGATGTCCTGAGTATCACAACAGGTTCAGCTGTGTGGGATGAAACATTTTAAGTGTCATAGCTGTATTTTCCATTATTGCCTGAATCTCTTAATCACTTAATAAAACTGTATTTTATTAATCAATAAAATTGTGCCCCTAGAAATGAACTGAGTAAGGGGTTGCAGCTTTACTGATACTCTTCCCCACCACTGACAATACTAAACCCAAGGAGGTAAGGTGAGCAGCCTGCTTTAAATGCAATAGTAAAATACTTAACACTCTGTCTCATCTTTTCTGCCATAGAAAGAGCTTTGCCTTCGTCCTTAGACATGTATAATTAAAGGCTACTCTAAAACTTATTTTTTTGGTACAGTGGAGGTGTATGCTTGAAGGGCAAATGGAGTTTTGTAATACCTGTGCAGATCATGAGAAATTACTAATCACCTGCCTTCTGAGGATAGTAGTGAGGAAGAGGAATGATTTAGCTTCTGTACAATTAGGAGTCTACTAGCTGCAAGATGCTCAGGTATGACCAACTGGTGCAGAAGTTACAAAAGCTGTACTGTCTGCTTGTACTTACTGATATAATTTATAGGGATTTTCTGAATTGCTGTACCTCTCTTAGTTGTTTAATTACTTTTATTCCTGTTCAATCCACCTTTCTCCCTTTTCTCTGCTAAATCCATTCCCATTATCTCGTTACTTCAGTCTACAGCCTACTGCATTTTCAAATGTCTCAGGTCTCAAGCTCTTGCTCTTCACCACAGGAACACTGGCTGTGGCTCAGATCAGTCTAACCTTTTGGGACCTAAGTAGCTTCTCTTTGCTAGTTCTGCTGCCTGCTATAGTATTTCACAGGCTAAGAAACAGTGAATCATTAACATTATTAGGATTCCTGAACAGAATCCTTAACAGTGGGGGAAAAGCCACTGGTAGGTCTTTCAGAGCATAACCTTGCATTTTACAGGCATAACAGAGGACAACTTTTAAATTGCTGCTGCAGTCTGGTTAACTCTAACTCCATATGGAAACCACGTTTTTGTTCCCTCCTTTGGAGCAGGAAAGGAAAGCTGAAGATTTGTTGGTTTTGGGTCCTACTTTCTTCATGAAAGAAAGCTCTTTAAGAACAAGATTTTATGCTTTTACACTTTTATTGTACAAAACAAGCATTTTATTAAATGTAGCACCTGACACCCTTCAGAAAGACAAATACATGTACAGAGACATGGTTTGTTTTTTTCTCACATTATACTTTATCCCTTGAAATCAGTATGACTGTCCTTTTCTGAGGAAGAGGACAAATTTCTAGTTCAGTTTTGGTGCACTTCTAGAAGCCTTTAAACACTGCCTTCTGAGTACGACACATGATGGAGCTAACACTCCTCCAACTGCTATTCTTTAGGCAGCGGCATTTCACAGTGATCGATTCATGTCTGAAATCTTGGTTATTTCATCTTTTATAATTTTGATCTCTGTTTGAACTCTTGTTAGATTGGCCAGTTTCTCATTCAGTAAAGCAATTTCCTTCTCCCGCCTTAATACATCCTCCACTAACCTTCCTATTCTCAGTGTTAGGTCATTTATGAACTGCGCCAAGATGGGAAAATCCTTTTTAAGTTTGTACATCTTGGGTTTTAAATCATTTGCAAAAGTAACTGTCTTCAGAACTTTTGCTCTGTCACCTTCAAGATTCAGAAGTCTATCTGAATGCTTGTTAAAATCACTCCTTAACTCAGACAGCGCTGTCTGAATTTGCTCAATTTTTCTTGTGTTACTGGATGCCACGCTTTGTAGTTTTGTACTTCGGTCGATGCTGCTGCTAAGCAGGTCCCCTATGTTCTTTACTGTCTTCTTTTCACCTTTTTCTACTTTATCTTCTAGTGTTTGCAAAGTTTCTGTCAGTGCAGTAGTATCTGAAACTAGGCCTGAAATGCGCCTTATGTCAGTTTTTACTGCCACAATGGTCAAAGCTAGGTTTTTTGCTACAGAAGCTGCATTCTGTTCCACAGTTGAAATGGCATGAAAAAGGGCTGTTAAATTAGTCTGCAGTTCTTCTTGGTTTTTAATTATGCTGTTAGACCACACTTTCATTGTATAAATATCTTCCTGCAGATGTTTAATGTGAGAAATTACTTGAAGGTCTTCCAGGTGTTCCATTAGGTTCCAAGTCTTTTCACACTAAAGGAAAACAATCAGAAATATTTCACAAGATTTGTAGCTTAATATATATCAAAATTGAAGCTGTATCTAATACAGTATCTTACTAATCTGATATTGAAACCAAATGCAAACCCTGTCTGTGGGAAAGAAATGTTGCAACACAAAAAAAAAAAGCTTTTTTTTTTCAGTATCCATAACAAATGCAGATATTATTACTTTTTCTATTACAACAACCATTGGAGGAAGGCACTATATGACTTTCCAGCATGACCTCTGAAACCACAGATCAAATGCAATCTTCTGATTTATGGAAATCTTTTGTATTAAGCCAGTGACAGCTGTGATCTAGAAAGACACACATAGTTTAGAAACACTTAAGAAAGATGACCACTTCAAAATTCTTTTATCCAAAACTCATGGATCATAATTAATTGATGTGGTTTTATTTTGGTAATCATTATATGTATTTTGAACATGGTGGTCACAGAAGGAAAAGCTGAAGGAATTAGGCATGGTTCTCTTTTGTCTAAAATAAGACACAAATATTTCATAGAAAAACCCTCCATCAAAGCTGTGATAATGAGGGGATACTCATGTTATAGCTAGATTTTTAGCAGCATTTGCTACTTCACTTCTTTGTGGTTTTTTTTAACGATTGGTGCTTGGGTTTCATATTTGAGAAGAAGAAAGGAAAATACCCAAGTGACACACTCCTGTTCAATCCCCAGTAAGTCTGTAGAATTTGGAAAAGAAACAATTTATTCTGAATTAGATTATGCACAAGGACAGGGTGATTAACTGCAATATATTTTATTTGAATATGGCTAAACAGATACAAATCTGTACATATGTAATAAGTATGATGAAACTGATAAGACTTTATAACATTGAGAAGTGCTGGCTTAATAGTCTCTTGAATGGGCAACATTAACTGTAGTGAAGAATTCAGTAGAGTTCTAGATAGATGAATGGATGCAGCCAGAATAACTTTAGCCTAATTAAGTCAAATGTTGTGGGTTCATACTGTCTACTAAGCAACCTACTTTCCGGAGTTCAGAAGTAGGAAATTATCAAACCAGACATCTGTAGACACAAGTTTAGGGTGGTCTTGAGATCCAAGTTTCAGTGAACAGCTATCAGGCACATCAGGTAGTACTGCATCCTGTATAAGTAGACGTAATAGATCTACGGATAAATTAGATACTACCAGCCCCCAAACACATAACTCCATGGCTTTCATTAACTGCTCCTGCAGCCCCTGGTTCACCAAACTTCAGGAAACAATGTCAGTGACACTGTTGAGGCTTTTTTCCCCTTTGAAATGCAAAGCAATACCAGACATGTCACATAATGTCTAACAGAGAACATTCTGCAAAAGTTAAAACTTGTTTCTAACAGCACCAGAAAAAACTAACTCACAAATACCAAACAAGAAAAAAAAAACAAACAACAAACTCAGTGACTGATCACACCAAACTTTCAAATTAAATGCTGAAGAACCACCTAACGGGAAGATCTGTAAATAAGGACTTCAGTTTACATGTAGTCCAACAACTTCAGTGGCAGAACAAAACTATGCCTGTGATTTCAGGAAGTCTGAAAAAGATGGAAATTAGGTCTGAGGAGGGTATTTGCACAGGGTGAAGGAAATGAATTATAACACCAGCTGCTATGTAACCCTGTGCTTATAAATACCAGTACAAGTTTCTCCATAAGGGGTACTCGCTTTCTGTCAAGCTGTTGTATCTAAGCTGCAGCTGTTAGACATGTACTTGGTGCGTTCTTCCACATAATAAAATGTGGATACCAGTAACAACTGACATTCAGAAGTCTGTATTGTAAGCAACAAAAACATGGCATATAATACATTAAAAGCAAAGTACATGTGTATCTGAAATAAGAACTTAATTGTTCATGGTAATATAATTGTCCATGGAATACAATACAAAAAGTAACAATATAAAAAAATAAGCAGTGAAAACTGAATGTAAATTGTAATCTGATGTCTTCAGTTTTGACTTCCCCCCCCCCCCCTTTAGCGCTAAATATCTTGCTTCTAGTTCCTTTCTAATAAACTTTTAATAAAGAAGCTAAAATAATCCTTAAGATGATACTCCTTAAAAAAATATTTCTTGTTCTTTAGCCTCTTTATAAAAAGTCTGCCTTTCAATCTAATGCCTTTTTAAATTAATGACAATATTTCAGCTATCCTTAACATATGTTGGAGTCACATTATTAAGTGGTTTTTCAGCAATGAAAGCTGTAAATCCCAATTCACTTATCCCCATTCTGGTCATTTTCTAAGTTATAGCTTTCCGAAGTTATTTCTTTTGAAGATACTTTCATGTCATGCATGTTTTCTTCTAAAACCAGTATTTCACCCTTAATTTTCAATATGCTGTCGTTGTACTGCATGCTTTCAAGAACCTTTTGCATGGCCACCGTATCAGAAATGGATTTCAGCATATCCTTTTCCACAGTATATAGCTGTGTTGTCAACTCCTGTATCTGTTTCTCCATACTTAGCAATTCACTTGATAATCTAAGAATAGAGTGAATAGCATTTTCAATTGCTGGCAAATGGGTCTTGCACTCCTCGATTTTAGGTTCATAGTTGGCAAGTTCCTGATGCAGGTCTCTGCCCTTGGCTGACAGACTATTCTGTTGTTGTTCTAGCTTTTCAACTGCCTCTGCGTGCAAGTCCAACTTTTGCTCAACTCTAGAGAATTCACCATCTTCTTGCCTTTTTAGTGTTTTTATATTTCTGGCTGTACTGTCTTCCAAATCTCTTACTCTTTCTGAAAGGGATTTAATTCTTTGGTCAACTTCATTAATTTGGAAAGTAACTCTTGTACGTATGGATTTCACTTCCAATTTTAAGCCACTGGTGTTAGTGTTCATTTCATTCAAGCTTCTTCTCCAGGAATTCCTGACATTTTGGAACCTCTCATTAACGTTCTGCAGTTTTAGAGAGAGAGTCCGCTCATTGTTCTGAATATCATTTATGATGTTATGAAGAGAAGATATTTCCTGCTCAAACTCAGTCATCACAGAGACAGGCAAGGCAGCTGCTTGGAGGATACTTTCAGAAGACTCAAGCTGCATTTGTAACATAAAACAATGTCCATGTCTACTTCATGAAAGTAAGATAGAAAACCATTTGCATTTAACAGAGAATAAAGACCCTTAGAAGCCACATTACTTGTTACAAAGCTCCTATGTGATTTGTTTTCATGCTTCAACTTTAAAATATTGCTGATTAACCTTGCATGAAGAAGTCACAGGAAAGCGTATGTTTGTTGTTGAATTTCTATAAAACACACTATTTTCTTTGTTGTCAATCCCTTATTTTCCATGGGTTTTTTTGTTTTGTAAAATATATCACATTACGTAAATCCCACGCAACATCTTGCAATGTGTAGTATATAAATAACCAGATCACATCATGTATAAATGACATCACTACAAGCTCAGTACTAGAACAACTTCACTGGCATAAGTCATACTGTTTTCCCATCATTATCTGCAAAATAATTCAGCAGCCAGCCCAAGTTTTCCACTTGATAATGTCACAAGCAGATAAGAAAATAAAGTTGAAATGCAAATTATTTCTATCACTTCATTATGTCTTCATGTTATTATGAAGGTCTACTACATAAAAATTCCTATACGTTTTCTTCAAAACTAAGTATCTTAGAATTATACACAGAACAGTACTGGTAGCATGAAGTATATGCATAAATCAAGTTTCTGAAAATAGTTTAGTGTCTTAAAAAAAAATACTGAGATACAACCACTATATTCACATACTTGAACAATGGTATGGATTGATATATTTAGTCACAAGAAATACCCTCCAAGGCCTATTCACAGGTAAGTAGAATACATTATGAAAATTTATTTAAAGACAGTCAGTTAAGTTTACCTAAATGACAAAAAAGTAAAACAATGGTATATAATCACTAGAGGTTATCCAATTAAGATGTTAATGCTTACCTTTTCAGAAATTAAGTTAACTTTATTTTCCACATCCAGGAATTTTTCAGCTTCTTGCTGTAAGAAAGTATATTTTTTTTCCATACCAGCAAATTGACCTGACTGCTGAAACAGGAACCTGCAAAGTGCAAGTAAATAAATAGTAAACAAAATTATAGAAGTCACATATATTAAGTGTTCTAGGACCTGATTCACAGCAGTCTGTTACTGCAGGGATTTATGTTCACAGAATTTGCTAGATTAATACATGAGAGAAAAAAAAAAAACAAACTAGAATTTAATGAAGTTGATCTGTCTTCATACTGAAGTTATATATGTATATATACGCACACACCTACAGAGGTGGAAAAATAAGGCATCAGCCATAGATGTGCTTGCTTCTTATGCTGCATGCCATTCAAACAGGAAAAATGTCCAATAAGACAGCTGACATAGGGCATTACATGCTCAAAATGCATCATCTTACAATACATGTTATTGATAAAGTACTATTTAACCTAACATGGATATAAAATACAAAAAGTTAATTTGACTTTCTTGCAAAGCATCATAAAATGATGCACAGAAGCCTTTGGATTTAGAAAGGCTGGTTAACTCTTATGTTTAACTGCAACCATCCAAGATCATAAGGTGCACTGCAGCAAAGATTGTATAGTTACTGTTATAATGAAGGCAGCAAAGACCTCAATCCTGTACTTTATATACATTCTAGATACAGCTTAGAAAGCTCCTAAATTCACAGTAACTGAAAGTACTTTGTTCAGTTAAAAAAGAAGCAAGACAAACAAGCTAAAACCCCGAATTTTGCTAGAGGATTGTCAATCCCAAAACAAGGTTTATTGTAGACTATGGAGGGGTCCTCACAGTCATAACAACGATTTTACCTAGAATAATAGAGTTTATTTAAAATACTTGTGCTTTCATAAATTGGTATTTATTAGTATACTGAATAGCAATTAGAAGTTTCAAAAGATCTAAAATATTCTATACAGATTAAGTTAGTAAAAGCTAAAATGCTAATGATGATAGATAGTTAGATGCATGCAAACCAGATATAAGCAGAAAATAAGAACAAATTTTAGATGTCAATCTGAAAATTAAGATGAAGTGTAATAATTGGGACTAATTTCTTATCCTAGAGTTTTGAGAATTTAATTATTTCTGTATGAAGCTTAGTTTCTGATGGAACTAAGGTACTGATGCTAAGATCTTCTAAAACATCCTTTACAAAGATATTTGACCTTTATTTGAAGACTCCCCCAATGAACAATTTACCATCCTGCTGAGCAAATTATTTACATAAAACCTTACTTCACTTCTACTGTTGAATTATTACCTGCCAAATGAGCCTTGTTGTACTTATTGTCAGATTAAGTTGCTCTTAACAGTTAGATGTAGTCTCCAAAGCAGGTATTTAGAATTCATGAGCAAGGCAACTTTTAAACTTTCAACATGATAGAACAGATCAAGCTTCTATACTTTCTTACTGTACACTGATGCTTCCACACTTGGGAGTACTGCCATTCCTTCCTTGATCTTTCTAACTTTAGGAAATGTAACTAATCATATTGTCCATGATTTAACAGTATGGAATACAAAAGAAAACATTAAAATCCAGTTTAGAAGGTTACCTACCAGGTCAGCACCAGGCAGACAGCAAGGGAAATCATGCTCAAGTTTGTCCGTGAGTCCATCCAAAAGGAACTCCAATTATTGCTGGTCCTGGGACTTACCAGGTTCTCACAGTTACTTTGCGTCTCAACCTTTTGTGACCCTTCATTCTTCTTCGATGAAGAAATACTTTTATTCCTCTGCTTAACTTCAGACATTTTGTGTTTTAAAACAAGCAGAAGCAAAAGAGTTCTAGGGAAAAAACAAAACCAGAGAGGACTACTTACTTCTAAATATCCTCAAATATAACATTTTGCCCTTTAGTTACACCCAAAAAGTGTTTCCTGCAGTGTTTACTATGTTTTCTAGTTATATGAACTTTTGTGAAGTGTCATAATACTTTCATAAGACACTGTGGAAATGTTTTCTATACTACAGAGCACCACTTTCATATTTTCTCAGACTGAGCTGACTTCTCAAACTTTAGCTATTTTTACCTTTCCAGAAATAAGTCACCTGTTGTACAGTAAGCCATCTTCAAGATATATTTAAAAATCTGGGACTGAAAGCATATTCCTTTTTATAGTTGATTACTGTCACAATTTCATCACTATTTCATCAGCAATTTCACTATCCTGTTTTACTCGTAGATTTTCTTAAATTATTATCTACTCCACTTTAAATGGGAAAATGAACTTCCTCATTTTAAAAAAATGGGATTGCAAATCAAACTTTAACTTAGAAATCTGTTGTAATGATTCCATGTTGTTGTTGTGGTTTAAACCCTAGCCAGACAGCTTGTTCACTCACTCCCAGTGAGTGGTGCTGGGCTGAGAGCAATCGAGGGCTCCCCCCCCCGGGGCTCTCCCCTTCCCTGCTCCCGGAGGAACAGGGAGGAGGATCGAAAGAGTGCAACTCCCACGGGTTGAGACAAGAACAGTCCAGCAACCAATGTACAACACAAATCACCACCGCTACTACCAACAACAGTGATAAGAGAAAATAACAAGGGAAGAGAATATGATACCACCGGCCAAGAAAACGAGTCCCACCCAGAAGCCCGTGTCCTTCCGGGTAACTCCCAGTTACCCCCCACCCCGGGCATGACGTGCTGTGGTATGGAATACCTCCTTGGCTAGCCTGGGTCAGGCACCCCGTCTCTGCTTCCTCCCGGCTTCCCCTCCTCCCTGGCAGAGCATGAGCCTCACAAAGTCCTTGGTCAGGGTAAACATCACGTAGCAACAACCGAAAACATTGGTATCACCAGCACTGTTCCCAGGCTGGAAGTCAAAACACAGCACTGCACCAGCTACCACGAAGGAGAAACATGACTGCTACTGCTGAACCCAGGACAGTCATCCATAAAGCCACAGACTTCAGTTAATAGAGAAATAGAGAAGATGAATTAAATGCTGCACCTAGGTAAAAGGAAAGCCATAATTTCATCTTTGAAGGTCTGAATAGAATTCAAGCAATATGAATCTCCAGTTTCAAAGAGTACACAACCTCATGTTCTAATCAACCAAGTAGGAGACAGTGGAATTTTTAAGTCTAATTCTGCCACCATGCTGCTCAAAATAGACCAGAGCCTTGGCAGATTCAGTTTAGCACAATTTGAGACAAAAACTTTGTACTTCTTTCTGCCACCATTTTGTCACTTGTCAAAATACGACTATTTAAACATTAGAGATACTTACATAATCACACACAGGCATAAAAGGCATTGTTTAAAATTTAATCTGTCACAGGGCACGAAACTGAGAGCTGCTTGCAAGTCAGTACTAGAAGTGTGCTCTGAGCTTGACCTGTAGGAAATAAACCACCTCTGGCTCCCTCCCTTCCCCCTCCCTTCCCCCCCCCCCCCAAACCCAAATCAAAAATATTGTTTTATAACATTTAAAACACCTTTGGGATTGAGAGCACGTATTACGAAGTTAAAATTTAAAAGAGATCTGAATGGTAGGTAGGAAAATAGTTCAATACAGGAGCAACAAATCAGCCTTAAAAAGACAAGAGCACAGCCCCGTGCAGTGGGGACAGACGAGCTCCCCATAGACGCCCCCGAGCCTCTCATACTCTTCCTGCCCTGCCTGCGCCCGGCCCAGGGCACCGAAAGAGACCGACTGCGGCTCTCCCTCCGCCCCAGGCTTCCAGGAAACTCCCACAGCCCAGGAGCAGGCCTGCAGGACACCACCCAGCCCCGGTACCACCACTCTTCCCACGACGCCACCGCCTTGCAGCGCTTAGAGCTGCCGTTCCCCCTCCCTCAGCAGCCGGGCACCCCGGCACACCGCGGACACCCTCCGTACCCTGGAGGCTTCCTCCGGCCCCAGTTGCAGGGCGGGGGGGCGGTTCTACCCTGCCGTGACCAAGTTCACACGCCCGGCGGCTATACCTCCGTCCCGGGCTAGCGCCTGTCGCACGACCCGTCAGAGCTGTTAGGAACGGCAGGCAGCTCCTCCCGCCACGTCAGGCGCGCTCCCGCTACCGGCCGACTAGGCTCTGCGCCGGCGCGCCGGGCTGTGCTCCGCGCGGGGTGGGGGCCGCGCTGCTGGCGGCTGCTGCGGACAGGAGTGGGCCGAGTCGGCCCTTATCCCACCCCCGGGCCCGGAAGGAGGAAGTAGTCGGGACGCGCCGCTTCCCTGCTGCGGGGTAGTGGTTTCTCAGGGTGAGGCGAGAAGTTGTTGCCGGCGGCTGCAGACGGCCGCGCTGCCAGCCAGGTGAGTCGGCGGGGAGGGAAGAGGACGGAGAAGGTAGGGCGGGATTGAGGCTGACTGCATCCCGCGGCCCCGAGCTGTGTGCCTGAGAGATGGCTTGTTCCCCTGACCCGGGGGCAGGTTGTGGTAGCGGCCGGGCAGAGCTCCCTGTCCGGGCTGGCGGTTGGTTTGAGCGCTCCGGTTTCTGTTTCCTTCTCCCTGCGGCTGGTAATGGCGAGGCGTGTCTGGGTCTGAGGTAAGCCTTTGTTTTTTGTTCGCGAGGTGCTTTTGTTTTGTATTTGCCTCACTGGTGGCTTAATTATCATTTAGTTAGTTATTTTTAACCTGGACGTTTTTTCGACTGCGGAGCCTTCCCGTTCCCACTCCTGAGCGGTACCGTGGGGTCAGGGAAGGGTGTAAGACTTTCTTAATCCCTTCATTTTCAGTGAAAATAGATTATTCGGTGAGTACGGCGAAAGAGGCGCTCCGGCGTGGGCTGCTCCAAAGGCAGCTGTTTTGCATCTACCCGGCTCCTGAAGGAAGGAGTGAAGAAGGTGAGCGCTTCTGCAGGCAGCTTTGTAGTTGCTCCGTGAAGTTTGCAATTGCCTATGGAGCCTTTGGTCATTGTGCAGGATTGTGTGATCGGGGAGATCATTTGGGACTCACAGCTGATCGCTTCTAGAAAACCTTTGTGTAGTAGGCAATAGTTTTCTCCTCTTGACTTCGGCACTTATGTTTTTTAAGGACAGAGAGGAAGAATGCAAGTTTATAGTTATATATCAAATGCTGACGAGGAAGGTGTGGCTCAGTCACTGGCAGTGTTGAGTGCTCCATCTTCCATCATGTGTCAAGATGTGAGTGTACCTGTATGAAGTCCTGAACTTGGAGACAACATCAAGTTTATCTCATGGGATTTGGTATACTGGAATTTTATTTTCTGTTATAGTTCTGCCCAGTGATGTTGGCCATGAGACCAGTTGTCTTTCTCATCCTGTTGTCCCGCTCACATGATCCAAGGACTTCAAAAATTTGAGGGATGTAGTGGGTGGGGAGAAAATTTCTTTCATGGAGACATTTAGGAAGTTCCTAGACTGCACAGGCTGTGATTCTTTACGTCTGCAATTGTTCATAAATTCATAGAAATGTGGAAAGCGACTCAGATTTTCTTCTTTTTTTTTTCAGAATTAGTAGTACATATCTGCTTTTTAAATGAAAACTTCCATTCATGTAGTGAGCACATAAGTTTTAGTATGCGTGTAATAAAGATTGAAATGCTTTTTATACCCACTTTATATGCGTCCAGGTGGAGCAATCAGAGAAATATCATAGCCAGATTAATTACAGCAACACTCAGCTGTATAGTTTTATTAAACATGGTAGCATATGACATCTAAGCAGTGTTTCAAGAATACTGTTAAAATCCACAGTAGTTTGTGAACTATTGCAACTTAACTTTTAATACACCTTTTTTATTCTGTTGAAAGAGTATTAGATTTCCCCAGTGTTTTTTGCGATGCTACTGTACTGTTTAGCTGAGCTAGACTACTCATAAACAGTATGAGTCATAAACAGTATAATTAAATTCATATAACAGGTAAGCAAGTCTCTTTGTCAAGGCAGAAGGTAAAAACAACTAAATTTTTTAGCTCTCTGCAGTTTGTAATATGAGCTTGCCTGAAGATTCACTCTGTCTTCCGCTAATGCAGATGCTGTGCTACTTTTTATGAGTTCAAAACAAGAATTCATAAGCTGTTTTAAAACTTTTTTCCTTGTACTTGTAAGTTATGTTCTGGTTCTTCCTCCTCTTTTTCACACTGAAGAAATATGGATGTCAAGAGTAGAAATTATTTACTTATGAATCGCCAAGCACTGGAAAAAGACATCAAGACTTCCTATATTATGGATCGTATGATTTCTGACGAAGTGCTAACATTACAGGAGGAGGAGAGAGTAAAACAACAGGTAGAACTGTCTCTTGCTGTTTTTTATCTTCCTAGTCTACTCACATGTTATGTCATTGTTTTAAAAATAGTAGTTGCTGTCTCATTTCTGGATTCAGGAAATTCTTAAACCTATGCTTAGCACACAGTTTTTATTGCACTTCATAGTATTGAGTTAAGGGCTTGGTCAAAGTTGAAGGCTGTTTCTGGAACTATAAATGGTCTATAATTGACAGAGTGATAGATTAGACAAGTTCTAAGGCCTCTTAGTTCTGTATAATATCAATTTTAATGTTTTGTTGGTTTTGGGGGTGTTTTTTTATTCCCTAGAATACACAGAAGGAGCGAGCAGCAATGCTAATAAACATTATTCTTACAAAAGATAATAATTCATATAGATCATTCTATAATGCACTACTTCATGAAGGATACTGTGATCTTGCTGCACTTCTTCAGGACGGCATCCCTGCTGTCTCCTCTGGTAACAGAAAGAGTTCGATGGATGGAATGACTTCACACGGTCAGTGTAACTACAGCAATCTCTGTGCATGAAAATAAAGACTAGTTGCCTTTTTTATTCCTTCGTAAGTGACTGTCTGTAATACCTGTTCCAGTGAAAAAGGAGTAGTTGGTGTGTTCACTTGTTTTGGTGTTGTAATAGTTGTAGTGGTAGTAGTATTTTCTGTATTTTATATATTTAATATGTCAGGCAAGTTAACAACAGTTTACTTTTGTAGCTTATCTGGAAAATGTTCATATAATTAATGTGTATTTTAAGAGGGAAACCTGAAGCTCTCGCAATTTTCTCTAAATTGTAACATTTTTGTTGTATGTGAAAGAAAGATTTACTGTATGTATTAAAGTTGAATTTAACATAAAGTGTTGTAGCCTCCAAAATTTTTATGCTTATCTTGAAGAGAGGTCTGTAGTCTCTCAGCCTACATTCCAATAGCTGATCTAGTTATTAGGTTGTTAATTCTCTCCGCCAGATGTTTTAGTTACCCTACATAAATTCCCAACTTTTACCTATTTTGTCATCTGTATCATCTTTGACTGACATGAAATAAATTGGTAGTTTCTAGTGGGAGGAGCTGTCTAACTACAAGTAAGTAACTGCCATATTTACTGGCACACTACATTTTAAGACGTATCACAGGCATGTGGAATTTTGATTACCCAAGTAAGAATTACCAGAGTTTATCAGTATAATACTGCACTGCATATGGCCACTTTGTGATAAAGTGCACATTTTCTTTCCTGCTATGCTTTACCTGCTCCTTTGCAAGTCATGCTATCTTAGCTTAAATGAAAGGAAGTCTTGCTTAAACCACAATGCTGTGCTGTTGTTAATTCCTAAGTAAAAGCTTTACAAAGCATGCTTTCTTTTCTGCTGCATCCATGCGTCACTAACCTGGCTGAGAAAGTGACTTGATTTTGGGGTATAGCAGAGCTCTTGTGTTTACCACAGTTTCTGCTGGAGCTGTTAATTATCTTTTCACTTCTAGGGATTGATCTAACTAGCTTGCCTTGTATGTAGTTAGTAATTGGAACACTACTGTAAGTGGGAGGTTAGTTGCCTGTTAAGTAATTTATTTCTAAAAAGCAGTATTTTTTCAGTATTTGGTGCTGTGAGTCGAGTAGTTTTCAGGACATTTGTATGGGACATGAGGTGGGGGTAGTGTTGTTGGGGTGGGGAGTTGTTCAGTTTGGTTTGAAGAGGCATCACATTTAGAAGTTATTTCTCATTTTCATGTTTCTCATTTTTTAACTTCAGTTAAGACAGTTCTCTGTGAAGGAGGTGTACCACAGAGACCAGTTGTGTTTGTCACTCGTCCAGAACTGGTAGATGCTATTAAACAGAAGCTGTGCTGCTTGGGAAGTGATCCAGGCTGGGTCACGGTTTATGGAATGGCAGGTTGTGGGAAGACTGTCTTAACAGCAGAAGCTTTAAGGGATCATCATCTCTTGGAAGGTACTTTTAGAAAAACATGTCTATTTTTTTACAGGTGTATGCGTATTAGACATAAATGGTGAAGTATCATATGTAATCTTGAAAGTAACTTAGGAATTAGGTTTCTAAATTCCTTAGGTGCTTCTGAAACGTTTCCTTGCAACTCGCAGGTTTCATAACCATTCAGTGCTCTAGGTCACTAAGTCTTTTATGAATTTATGAGAAAAGATTCCGAATAGCTCTTTACTTTGGATTCTGCTTTGGCTTATGAGAGTAGAAGCATCATATCTAATTTTGGGCATTGCTCATTAAGTCGTTAGACTGTTCTCCTTGTTACATGAGTTTAAAAAATCTTACTCTAACTTTTGCATATATTTTTATAATGGCAAGCATTTGTGGATTGATTACACTAGTATCACTTTAGCGTAAAGCAGATCAGAAGTGAAACCATTTAATGATTATTCTTCCCCCACCATAGGACACTGAGGAGAAAGAGGGACTTGGGCATTAGAAAACTTGATCTAGGGATAGAGACTACAGCATCTTCTGCTACAGCTGACTCTTCTAGATGCCTTCTTGTTCACCATTTTGGGATGATATTCACATACCAAACTGAACTCCTGCAGTAGTAGAGCATTATAAAAGTAAATGTTAAGTCTGACTACTAGGAAGGTGAATGCGGCAGGGATTGTAAAGGGATAGGCAGGAAGGCATAC